GTGAAACAACCACAGCGTTGTGTTTTGTCGTGTGAGTGAGGTTACCGGAGGCCCAATTAACCCCCTTACTAGTCCTTTCCGAATCCTCCTCAATCCTCTAATTCCCAAAAGGCCGGTAACGTACTTGTAAAGCCTTGGTGTTTCGAGTGACCATGGGCGACGCCGATTGCTTACCAACAGGTGATCCGTCTGCTCGTTTACCGGCTTATGCTATAAAAGGAATCCTAACGATCGAAGTTCCCGGTTTCCTCGTACAGATCAAGCCAATAAATGTCGTCCATGATCATAACGAACATGGCGCATTGTAGACATAGGCCCCTTGATTTTATTATCACTTGGTGCCCTGTGTCCCTGTTTAAACAAAATTCTGTTAATAATGTCTGTAATCACAGGGCATGTATATACACTAAAGAGTTCTTATAAGCGACCATATCCGGAATAACTAAAACCAATCTCAACGACAATTCAATGTCAACACTGTACAACCACAATCGAAGCTGTTACAATAGCATTCAGAGTACGGAATATAAAGACAAACTCAATACCATTTAGTTCATTCAATATCCGCGCAATACGAATGCAATGGGCGCTAGTTGCGACTCAAGAGTACGACACAATACCAATGTCGATCGATCGGAATTGTACTCAAGAATTTGCCCCCGAATTGATTAAATCTTTTTGTTTTTATAATAACTATCGTGAGACATAGTAAATTAACTAAAAATCTCGGGTTACTCACGTGAATATACTGAGAAAAGCTCTACTAGTTTCGAACCACAGAGGGGATCTTCCTCAGCAGCGTGTGCGGTCGCGGCGATGTCGCGCAACCTACTGACGTATATCGCACTGACCGATCTTTTCTCAGTATATTCACGTGATTAACCCGCGATTTTTAGTTAATTATCTTAGTTTTGTATATTCCATTTATAGAAGAAGGCAACATGGTTTAAACATCGCGTTACAAACAATCTAAATGTCGTTGTGGCCGGGAGGTTTAACACGCCCGCTTCTCATAGATCAGGATGCGGGCTCGAAACCTACCAACGGCAAGTACCAATGTGACTTATTCCGAGTTATACGTACTTTCTAAGATTATTCAGACACCACTGACAAACGGTGAAGGAAAACATTGTGAACCTGGGCTTATAATTTCTAATTATAAGTTTGAAATCGACAATATACAGTGCCTTTAGCCAAACGCCACTTTAGCGCTTGTCTACAGAGAGAGTAGAAATCAAAAATTTAATTTCTTCTTTCTTCTTTCTTTCTTCAAAATGTGGATGATACTGACAAGTGTCAAAATGTACGTCAATTCCATATAATTTGGTTTTCTATTCTACATGTAGACAAGCGCTAAATGGCATTTGGCTACAGCTACAGGTTACTTCAGATGTGGCTATAAAAAGGCTTTTTAACCCCGAAGGGGTAGGCAGCGGTGTACATTACGGCACTTAATGCCACTGTACAATGTAACACCCACTCACACCGGACACAATTCCAGGCTCCGTGCTACTTTTTTTTATGGCATAAGCCGGTAAACGAGCTGACGGGTCACCTACTGGTAAGCACTACTGTAAGTAAGACATACAAAATTAATTGCTGTTTTACTGATTACTTACTCACGTAACTGTTTGACGTTTCACAGTCTCTGCCCACTCCCATGGGAGACAGGCGTACGTCATGTACGTTTTTATGTATGTATGTTTGAGGAACTCGACTAGTCAAGTAAAAGTCAAGATCATTTATTTCAATAGGGATGATGACAAGGTATGAAAATTAAAAATCTAATTAGTCCGTCAGTTAGGTAATGAAAAAATATTAGACACGTATTTTTTTTATATTGTCGTATAATAAAACAATACTTAGATATAATGAATCAAAGTTTAGGAGTGGGGGCTAAAACGTAATTTTTTCGTATAAAACGTACATAGAAGTGACGTCACGCGACATTTCAAATCAATATATCGTCAAAGGTGTTCGTTTCTGTAAGAAAATAAAAAATACGTAAAATTTTAAAACAATCTACCAGACGGGCATTGAAATAAAAATTAATCATCTACCCTATTAGATCAGAAAAGGTTTTTTTTAAAAGGGGGAAAATCATTGAATGACTGCTCCCGCCTGGGTGAGGCGGGAGGGAGTGTCAGACTCTTACTGACTAAAAAATTGGTTGCCTGTAAAGTCGGTATACGGGCGAAAGTTTTACGTGACAACGACTTTGAGTGGTAAAATATTATGTCTGTCTCTCTCGCTCTTAGGCGGGCTAACCATGCCCGAGTGGAAGGGACGCGTGCCTTTCACTTTTTATGTCTGTCTCTCTCGCTCTTAGGCGGGCTAACCATGCCCGAGTGGAAGGGACGCGTGCCTCTCACTCGCTCTCATTGTGAGCGCATAACGTGAGCGGAGCGTAACGCAGTTTCTTGAAATGTCACCCGGCAAACCAATTTATAAGACGTTGTCACGTCAAAACCACCCCGTTCCTTCTCCTGCACGTCGAGCCGGAGCCCCGGTTAACCGTTAGGTTCTCCACGACACCGGGAAAGGCTTGAAACTAGTCGAGTCCCTCGTCAAACCGTTACGTGAATAAGTCGAAAAACATAGTAATAACAACTAGATATAAGTAAAAACATTGATTAGTGTACTTATTCCAGTTACTGCATAAATATCTTCGTCCATTCTTCATTACATTCTTTTTTCATTTCATGACGCGAACTTATTAACCCCTTGATTGCTCCGATACGAGAGACACAATAATAAATGCATTATGTCTCGCGATGATCCGCATTATAGAGACGCGAAAGCTCAAAAAACCGATTAAAAAGATGAAAAAAATATATATTTTGATGTATTTTTTGTAAATTTTTGTTTAGTGATAATAGAAATACAATAAAATGTCGTTTTAAGAATGTTATTGTTAAATATAATGATTAAATCCAATCTAAAACACATCTATATAAGGTGTAGTTTTGAAGCCGTGTCATTTCTCGGGGGCATGTCACAGAAGTCATAAAGGTTCAATGTAAGAGAAAGTTTCGGGCCAATAGTTAAAAATACGGCTATAATAAATCGTTTAAGTTGGACAGTATTTCAGAATAAGCGACAGCAATGTGTCTTATTGGAGTTTTATGGAATTAGGAATCATATCAATTACGTGTTTGAGTTTGTGTGTGTTAAGCCGCGTTAGAAAGCTAGTTACAAGACGGCGGCGTGTAGTTCGCACTTAAATATTTCAGTAAAATGAAAAATATTTACCTACAATTTTTTTTATTGATTCGGGCTCAGAATCGATAGCCGAGTTACCTCCTAGAAAATGACGCGGCTTTAAAACAACACCTTGTATATATAAAAATGAAACCCGTTTCCCGTTGTCACGCCATAACTTGAGAACGGCTAGACCGATTTGGCTGATCTTTTTTTTGTTGTATTTGTCATTGTCAAGAGGTTCTTACGACAGAAAAAATCCTGAAAATCCTACGGAAACGGGAGAAAACGGGATTGCGCGTACGAAGTTGCAGGCAGAAACTAGTATTTCATAAAAAAAATAACATTTATAATAGGATTTTTTATAAGTCATCTGAGGATAAGAGGAACATTTGGTCGATGGAGGAGCGTCAATAAAGGTTGTAAAGGAATATTGCATTTGATAGAATATTTACATATAATTATAATTAGAACCCGAACTGTCTCTAAACAATGATAACATTGACAATAATATAATATTTTTTTTAATATTATGTCACTGGAGGAATAAATATTTCACTGTAAAGGGAACGAAATATACTACACAATTTATAGACATAACACACAGAATGACAGAAGTAACACCCACTTTTCACTATTTATGTTATGAGTCCCATGTAATAGGGGGTGAGCCTATTGCCATATACCGGGCACATTTCCAGATTCCGTGCTACTACTGAGATTTGTTTAAAAAACCCAGTAATACTTTGCCCGACCCGGGAATCTAACCCGAGACCCCTTGCCCGGCAGTCGTACTTGCGACCACTCGGCCAACGAGGCAGTCAATTAGTCAATCAGCAATTTATAGACAATTATCACATTTAAGCCAACAGAGGAATAAACGAGCATATATATGCATATTATTTTCTAAAATATATTATAACAGGCTTTCAATATGAAAGCATTATAGTCGACTTTCAATATGAAAGAATTGACAAGAATACACTTTGTTTAAAATTAAACTTATGTCACTGGGGGACTAAATAAACTTCCAACTAAATAAACGATAGTTTGTAATGCCCAGGCCACACCAACAAGAAATGCCATTGCTTATCTTGATAACGCACGTTCACCGTTTTTTTAAGGGGGGAAAATCATCGAATGACTGACTGCTCCCGCCTGGGTGAGGCGGGAGGGAGTGTCAGACTCTTACTGACTAAAAACCACCCCGTTCCTACTCCTGCACGTCGAGCCGGAGCCCCGGTTACCCGTTAGGTTCTCCGCGACTCCGAATCAGCATCGGCCCTATTGGGCCCCATCTGTGGTGGTCTGATGGCTCTTTGAACCATAAGACAAGGTTCACCATAGGTCAAAGAGTCAACGCGATAATTTGACAGCGGCATTCACATTCACGTTAAAATTATCGCAATAATTATCGTAGTAAACATCGCGATAATCGGCATTGACGTTGACGCTAGTGTAGCCCGAGCATAAGGAAGCGCCGTTACTAAACTACTGGACGGATTCGATACAATTTGGTAAAGAAATCGATCATAGTCTGGACACCACGTGGTGTAATTTTTATCCCTTATTATATCACAATTTATTTAACTATACTATCTTTGGTATTTTTAACTTATTTTTAGAATTATGTCATTTGAGGACTAACAGTATGTCGATGGGGGACATTCAACATATTATTCGGATAGGGGATAAAATGCGGTGGAATATTGATAAATGGGTAATGTAGGGGAACAGGTATTAAGTGAAGAGTTGGGTAATAAAATGGTGGGGGTGCGCACATAACGATTTGTACTGACCTGAACATGAAGGCGTTGACAGTGATATGCGGCATGGTGGCCCGGAATGATGCCAAGCAGTGATTCTGTAGCAATCCCCAAACGTCCAGATATTGGAGATGCGGCATTCGAGATAATCGGCTGTTGGGAGAGTAAATTATAACATTAGAGCACTGTACAATGTAACACCCACTTTTCACTATTTATGTTATGAGTCCCATGTAATAGGCGGTGAGCCTATTGCCATATACCGGGCACAATTCCAGACTCCGTGCTACTACTGAGATGTTTTTTAAAAACTCCAGTAATACTTTGCCCGACCCGGGAATCGAACCCGAGACCCCTTGTCCGGCAGTCGCACTTGCGACCGCTCGGCCAACGAGGCAGTCATCATAACATTAGAATATTGTAATGGGGTAATAATACAGGAATACCTAATGGTAAGCAATCGATGTCGTGCATGGACACACGGAACACCAGAGGCGTTACAAGTGCGTTACCGGCCTTTTGGGGTTTAGGAGTTTGAGGACCGTTGGGGATTCAGGAATTAGGGAGATTTTGGAAGGGGAGAGTAATTGGGCCTCCGGTAACCTCACTCACACGACGAAACAACGCAAGCGTTGCTTCACGTCGGTTTTCTGCTCGGCCGTGGTATCACTCCGGTCGAGCCGGCCCATTCGTGCCGAAGCATGGCTCTCCCACACTTCATAATACAAAACAAAAATATACTTACGTTAATGAGTTTACGGGTATCGAGTAGCATCGATTCACAGCCAGGTGCTCTAGTCTCTGCAGCTTCATAAACGAGCTGATACTGTTTATAGTCAGCAGGCCGCAGTCGGACACATCCAGCTCCAGCAGTCGAGGGCAGCGGTCTACCAGTCTGTTCAGCACTGTAAATTAAAAAAATAGAGGTTGTGTTTTTATAACTGCCTCGTTGGCCGAGTGGTCGCAAGTGCGACTGCCGGGCGAGGGGTCTCGGGTTCGATTCCCGGGTCGGGCAAAGTATTGCTGGGTTTTTAAAAAAAATCTCAGTAGTAGCACGGAGTCTGGAATTGTGCCCGTTATATGGCAATAGGCTCACCCCCTATTACATGGGACTTATAACATAAATAGTGAAAAGTGGGTGTTACATTGTACAGTGGCATAATGTGCACCTCTGCCTACCCCTTCGGGGATAAAAGGCGTGATGTTATGTATGTGTTTTTATAATAACTATCGTGAGACATACTAAATCCTTACTAATATTATAAATCTGAAAGTGAGTTTGTTTGTTTGTTTGTTCCGCTTTCACGCCATAACTACTAAATCGATTGCTTTGAATTTTTGCAGACGTGAAGTTAGAAGTCCGGATTAAATAATAGGGTACTTTTTATCCCGGAAAAATTTGATATTCCCGAGGGAAAACAAATGTATTGGTATAGATGGCGCTGTGTGTATTGGTATATGTCACATAAGCTACTTTTTATTCTTTTATGACGCGTGCGAAGCCGCGGGTAAAAGCTAGTCTATATATATAAAAGAAAGCACTTATAACTCAAGAATGGCAGAATAGATTTGGCTGAAAATTGGTAGGGAGGTAGCTTAGAGCCAGGAGACCGACATAAGATACTTTTTAACCAATTTTTTTTTTTACTTTTTACCGATAATCACGAACGGGGACGGGAATAAATGGGATTACGCGTACGAAGTCGCGGGCAGAAGCTAGTTAAGTAAAATCGCGAGTTACTCACGTGAATATGCTGAGAAAAGATCTACTAGTTTCGAACCCCTCTGTGGTATATTCACGTGAGTAACCCGCGTTTTTACTAACTTAAAATAAGAGTTTATTTATACATAACATCACGCCTTTGATCCCTGAAGGGGAGCAGAGGTGCACATTATGCCACTGTACAATGTAACATTTACTTTTCACTATTTAATATTTATGTTATGAGTCCCATGTAATAGGGGGTGAGCCTATTGCCATATACCGGGCACAATTCCAGACTCCGTGCTACTACTGAGAATTTATAAAAACCCAGTAATACTTTGCCCGACCCGGGAATCGAACCCGAGACCCCTTGACCGGCAGTCGCACTTGCGACCACTCGGCCAACAAGGCAGTATTACAAACACTTTTCTGAAAACTACATCAAAGTCGGTTCAGACAATCGCGCACGAACATATGTATATACATACAGGTTAAACTTTTTTTTTCTTCTAAAAAAACGTTGCCCCACACTAGGATTGTCTCCTGTGTCGTGTGTACGTGTACAAACATACAAGTTCACATACACATCACACACAGACACGGAACTACAATCTGTGGATCACACAAAGAGTTGTTCCGTGCGGGAATCGAACCCGCGACACGTTGCGCGGGAGCCAGTTGCCCAACCACCGCGCCAACCGTGCATTCATAACTGAGAACCTGCTTTCTGTGTTAGTCGATTAGAATTACTTACAATTATCGGTGAGTGTTCTGACTCCTCCCAGATTGAGTCGCTGGAGACGCTCCGGGGCTTTCTCAACAAGGGCATTCAGAGATTCCTCGCTAATACCACACCAACCAAGATTCAGAGCTAATAAGCTGAAAAACAAAGACATTTCAGTATTAATCATCATCATAATTATAATCAACAGCCTATAAGTGTCCACTACTGACACAAAGTCCTCTTCTCACACGGAGGTTTGAGCATTAATCACCACGCTTGCTCAATGCGAGTTGGCGATTTCAAACTTATAATTAGAAATTATAAGCTTAAGCCGCGATGTTTTCCTTTACCGTTTGTCAGTGGTGTCTAAATAATCTTAGAAAGTACATATAACTCCGAACAAGTCACATTGGTACTTGCCGTTGGTAGGTTTCGAGCCCGCACCCTTATGGATGAGAAGCGGGCGTCTTAAACCTCCGGGCCACCACGACTCTTTTAATTCATTCACATTATCTTACACTAATAAAGCGGAAGAGTTTGTTTTTTATTGTTTATTTGTTTGAACGCGCTAATCTCCGTAACTACAAGTCTGATTTGAATAATTCTTTTCGTGTTGCATAGCGCATTTATCGAGAAAGGCTATAGGCTATAAAACATTACGCCACGATTAATAGGATCTAAGCAGTGTGCTAGTAGCGAGTAAAAGATAGGAATTTGAACTTACTTGGTGCATCCTTCAAATAATGAGTTAAATCCCTCAGTTTTAAGTCCGGACGCCATTGTTAAGTTCAATGTTTCTAAATTTGTGCATTGTCCTGTAAAAAATAATAAAATAAAATAGTCAATTTGTTTTCATTAATAGTCAGTAGTGTTGCCACATATACATTAAAATAGGGTACTTTCTTTAATCAAAAATAAATTATTTCGACTGTTCAATACAATAAAATATTAAAAAATAATCCCACTTTCATTAATTGATTTTATGACCAACTTAATTTTAGTATTTTTCCAGCAAATTTTTAAGAAATAAGTATGCTGTTTGACGCTAAAAAACCGTGACGTCACAATACACAATCTCGTAGAAAATTTATAAAAAACTGTCGTTTTTGACAGTTCGAAATTAAAAGTATTGGATTTGATTAGTTGGCAAGTACCGTATCTTTATATATATATAATTCTTCTGTGACGTCAAACGACTGACCGATTTTGATGAAATTTTTGTGTGTTCAAGGGGATCTGGGAATGGTTTAGATTCGCAAATCAGATCAGTCGATGTTTAGGTTATTTTTATCCTAAACGGCTGAACTAATTTGAATGAATTTTTGTTTATACATTCAAATGGATATGCAGGACAACGTCTGTTGGGTCCGCTAGTCTATATATATAATTATAAATGAACCCCGTTTCCCGTTGTCACGCCATAACCTGAGAACGGCTAGACCGATTTGGCTGATATTTTTTGTTGTCTTTATTATTGTTAGGAGAAGGTTCTTATGACAGAAAAAAGTGCTAAAAATCCTACGGGAACGGGAGAAAACTAGTTTACGAGTCCGAAGTGGCGGGCAGAAGATCCTTACTTATATTATAAACCGGAAAGTGACTTTGTTTGTTTGTTCCACTTTAACGCCGTAACTACTAAACCGATTGCTTTGAATTTTTGCAGACGTAAAGTTAGAAGTCCAGATTAAATAATAGGGTACTTTTTATCCCGGAAAAATTTGATATTCCCGAGGGAAAACAAAAGTATTGGTATAGATGGCGCTGTATGTATAGGTATATGTCACATTGGCTTTTTATCCTTTTGTGACGCGAGCGAAGCCGCTGGTAAAAGCTAGTATAATATACAACTTACCGATAATTCTAAGAGTATTGTCCTCTATGTGGATGCTTTCCAGGCTAAGTTTTTTGAGATTGGGGCAGCAACGTAGCAGTGTGTCTAAAGTGGCCGTCGAGATAGTAGCCATGCTCAGGTCCAGGAATTGGAGCCGGGACGGGGGCAACTCCCCACTGGGCGTCCAGTCGCCTATCTGTAAAAGAATTGTTAAGTTTATATTAAAAATTTCCGTGAGACATACTAAATAAATTGGGTAGCTAAATAAATTTAAAATCTAATTACTCCGTCAGTCAGTCAGATAATGAAAAAATAACATAACATCACGCCTTTTATCCCCGAAGAGGTAGGCAGAAGTGCACATTACAATGTATAGTTAGAAGTCTGGATTAAATAATAGGGTACTTTTTAACCTGGAAAAATTTGATATTCCCGAGGGAAAACAAAGGTATTGGTATAGATGGCGCTGTGTGTATTGTTATAGTTACATAGGCTACTTTTTATCCTTTTGTGACGCGAGCGAAGCCGCGGGTAAAAGCTAGTGTCGATATAATTGTCGCAGAGAACCTAACGGGCACGTCGAGCCGGAGCCCCGGCTCGACGTGCAGGAGAAGGAACGGGGTGGTTTTTAGTCAGTAAGAGTCTGACACTCCCTCCCGCCTCACCCAGGCGGGAGCAGTCATTCGATGACTTTCCCCCCTTAAAAAAAAAAGTGTCGATATAATAAAAGTGTGTTAATAAAAAATATCTTACTTCGGAGCTAGCCAATCTCAATATGACAGGCTTTCTGTCTAAAATTCTTCCTAGGGCGTCTTTGGCTATAGTTTTGTTACCCAGGTCCATTCGGACCCAGAGTGTTTCATCACAGGCTACTCTGTACCATCTGGAATTAAAATAAATTTAAATAACATAACATCACGACCAGGGTTGCCACCTTTTATTTTGGTATTTAAAGTACTTTGACGATTATAGGCAAGAAAAAAAAGTACACAGTATAAAAATAAAGTACAATTTATTCTTATTTAGTATTATATTTAAAAATATACTTTTTATTGCTTTTTGCAGTTTGTATAAAATAAGTATCTTTACTAAAAAAATGCATCTTTACTAGAAATTGTCTAAGTGGCGCTGGCGAGTGGCGAAATCGATTCAACATAAGTCGATAAATATCGATATCGAATTATGCGAAAATAAAGTATTTTCGTGTACTTTATTATGCTTATAAAGTATAGAGTACAACCTTAAATAACGTACAATACTTTATTATAAAGTACGGGTGGCAACCCTAATCACGACAGACTTTTATTTGATCAGAGTGCCAAGCACGAATAACTATCGCATTCGTATCGTACCAGTATCGAGCGAGTTAAGCGTTCTGATTGGTTGGTTCACTTGAGCCGGCCAATCAGAGCGCCACCCACTTTTCACTATTTATGTTATGAGTCCCATGTAATAGGGGATGAGCCTATTGCCATATACCGGGCACAATTCCACTATTGAGTATTTTTTTTAAACCCAGTAATATGTTGCCCGACTCGGGAATCGAACCCGAGACCCCTTGCTCAGCAGTTGCACTGGCCAACGAGGCAATCAAATAATAATAAATAATTTATGGGTCTGCAAGGCGCAAATAATGCCCCATCTATTGCAAGCCTACCATCAGGGTACTCTTGAAACCAATCTCAATGTCAATGCAATAAAATCTCAATAATTCAATTTCAACACTATACAACCCCTATCGTAGCTGTTACAATAGCATTCTCAATACCATTTAGTTCATTCAATATCCACGCAATACGGATGCAATGGGCGCTAGTGTTGAAACTCAAGAGTACGACACAATATCAATGTCGATCGATCGGAATTGGAGTCATGAGTAAGCTCCTAGGTGGGCCGTGTGCTTTTATGCCACTATTGTAGTATAAAAACGTAAAGAAAATCACACTATTTCTTTAGTTTTATGTAGTCTATGCCATATTTTATCTGTAAATTCTATAATCTCTGGTAATTAAAAAAAAATAGAATTTTGATGTGTAATGGTTTACGAAAAAGTACAATGTGCTAATATTTAGAAAAGAAATTGTTAATTGTTGAAAATTGAAGTTAAAACTGTAAAGGAATAAACTTTAAAAGTCGTTTCTTTGATTACAGGTAAATAGGCAATAAGATAAAGTTGTAATTTAGTTTATTTAATGTGTTCATGTTTTTAACAATAAATCTTTGATTACAGAGCAACGCAAGTTTATTTTCTTTATAATAATCAGACTGAAAGAGTCTTATAAAAATATAAATATAATGTCTACATACCTTTTACAAACAACCATACAATGTGCAAGGCTCCGTTTCGGCAACCAATTAAATATGCTCAGCATCATCTCATCGGAGAGCAACCTGAAGGAATCACCTTCGGTCTCAGTAGGCTCTGATTTGGAACGGCGTTCCAGTATTAGATCGTCTTCCATGCCAAGAGCTGTAAATAAAATTGTATTGGTTAAAACACTTAAAAAAGTGTGGGAGAACCATGCTTCGACACGAATGGGCCGGCTCGACCGGAGTGATACCACGGCCGAGCAAAAAACCGACGTGAAGCAACGCTTGCGTTGTGTTTCGTCGTGTGAGTGAGGTTACCAGAGGCCCAATTACCCTCCCCTTCCCCAATCCCCCCCAATTCCTGAATCCCCAACGATCCTCAAACTCCTAATTCCCCAAAAGGCCGGTAACGCACTTGTAACGCCTCTGGTGTTCTAGGTGTCCATGGGCGACGCCGATTGCTTATCATCAGGTGATCCGTCAGCTCGTTTACCGGGTTATGCCATTAAAAAATATGATACAATTAAACATTTTGAATTAGCTTAAAATTATGGTTGCCTCTCGTAGATATACTGAGAAAAAAAGTGTAATAGAGCCTTGCTTTGGCATCATATTTGCCATTACACGGGCCGTGCAAACATCCCTCGTTCCGTTGTGGAAGAAAGCCGCGTACAACTTGTGTCTCAAATCGAGAGTACCTTATGCCGAGTCTCCGATTGGGGTCGGGACCATATGGTCCGGGTTCCACCCCTCCAAGACCCATTCGTCGTGGTCCTTAAATTCCAAGACACTACCCTTAACATCTCTAAAAGGGAATCTCCAAACACCCCAATCCCTAAATCCAACAATCCTCAAATTCCTTATCCCCAAAAGGCCAGTAACGCGTCTGAATTGCGGTTGTCCATGATTGCTTACCATCAGATAATCCGTCAGCTCTTTTACCGGCTTATAACATAAAGAAAAGAAAAGCTCTACTATTTGCGAGTAACATAATAATATATTAATAGTACATTTACGTAACTCGTAATTTTTAGTATGTTTATACTTTTTTTTGAGTGGGGAAAATCGTCCAATGGTTTCTCCCGCCCGTGTGAGGCGAGAGGGAGTGATAGACTCTTACTGACCAAAAACCACCCCGTTCCTACTCCTGCACTTCAAGCCGGAGCCCCGGCAACCCGTTAGGCCTTCCGCGGCTCCGATTATTACACTTAGGAGCAGGTTTTAAGATATCAACCGACTTCATAAAAAAGAGGTTGAAGTCTGCTTTGCAATAATAATATATCAATATATCTCAAGAGGCTGGCGTTAGGTGAATGGATCAAGGGTCAGGCCCTTGATCCATTCACCTAACGCCAGCCTCTCTACAGAAGGCAGTTCTCCTAGAAACGGCACGTATCGTGAGAAGGTTTCTGTCTATGGAATGGCATGCTCCAGGAGCATACTACTGGTCAGCTCCTATCCTTACTAATATTATAAATCGGAAAGTGAGTTTGTTTGTTTGTTCCAACTTCACGCCGTAACTACTAAACCGATTGCTTTGAATTTTTGCAGACGTAAAGTTAAAAGTCTGGATTAAATAATAGGGTACTTTTTATCCCGGAAAATTAGATATTCCCGAGGGAAAACAAAAGTATTGGTATAGATGGTGCTGTATGTATTGGTATATGTCACATAGGCTACTTTTTATCCTTTTGTGACGCGAGCGAAGCTGCGGATAAAAGTTAGTTTTTTATATTTTTAAATATTATTTTTTATTTTGTAAGTAGTACTTAAAAATGTAATTTATAGAGTATAATTTTAAATAAATATATGGAAATCATAGTCACTTACGCGTGCAACTCTGCCGTCCCCCGCTGCTGTCACTACCGGCGCTGTACGTAGCTCCTGCAGTGGGCATGTATCCAGCGCTGACTGACTGTCCCAGAGGAGTCTCTTCTTCTATCAGATAATCATCAACTAGACTGGTTTCCAAAATATGCTGTTCAGACTCCTGGAGCGGTTTCACTGAAAAAAATTACAGAATTGACTTAGACATTTTTTGAAAGAGCTTTATAAACAACTTTGAACCAATAGAGTAGTTTTTAAGGGGGGACGAAAATCATAGAATGACTTCTGGAGAAGTCTGGGTGAGGCGGAAGAGAGTGTCAGACTCTTACTGACTAAAAACCACCCCGTTCCTACTCCTGCACTTCGAGCCGGAACCCTGGCAACCTGTTAGGTCTTCCGCAGCTCCGTATCGGCATCAGCCCTATTGGGCCCCATCCGTGGTGACCAATAGAGATTCTTTAGGATTTTGGGCAACTCTCACAGGCGAAATCTCCGCTCATTTGATGGCCAAACATAGCAGTAAATGACGATGGTACGGAGCGAGGGGAACTGGGATGCTGTCTCCTCCTTCTGCGAAGCAGTCATGCTAGCTAAGGAGGAGGCGGAGCGCATGAGGGAACGAACCTCCTCACGCCCCGGCCGTCGCGAGAGACATTCCGAGCGTCGGGGATCGCGAGACGATCTCCGGCCATCGTAAGCGCGGGCCTGCGGACGGCGAGCACGAGTGACTCGCCGCCCGACCAGAACCAGACACGAGCGTTCTGCGCGCGCCTCAAGGAGCCATCAGACCACCACAGATGGGACCCAACAGGGCTGATGCCGATACGAAGCCGCGAAAGACTTAACGGGTTGCCGGGGCTCCGGCTCGAAGGGCAAGAATAGGAACGGGGTGGTTTTAGTCAGTAAGAGTCTGACACTCCCTCCCGCCTCATTGGATGATTTCCCCACTCAAAAAAAAGATATAGCAGTAAACACTAGTTGGGATACCAAGGTTCCATCATCAGACCAGCTCGATGGCACCATAATATTGTATTGTCATCTAATCTACATACAATTGCCAAGTTTCATGATGATACAACAATTACAAGTGTGTGTAATTCAGATTCTTAAGATTTTATTACATAGTTCATAACAGGGGTTTACTCTTGAATCCAATTCCGATCGATCGACATTGATATCGTGTCGTACTCTTGAGTGGCAACACTAGCGCCCATTGCATCCGTATTGCATGGATATTGAATGAACTAAATGGTATTGAGTTTGTCTTTATATTCCGTACTCTGAATGCTATTGTAACAGCTACGATTGTGGTTGTATAGTGTTGACATTGAATAAGATATTGGATTGAAACTGCATTGACATTGAGATCGGTTTCAAGAGTAAGCGCCCTGGGTGCTTACTCTTGAAACGTAGCTGTTACAATAGTATTCAGAGTACGGAATGTAAAGCTAAAGTCAATACCATTTTGTTCATTCAATATCCGCGCAATACGGATGCAATGGGCGCTAGTGTTGCAACTCAAGAGTACGAAATTTCACAATACCAATGTCGATCGATCGGAATGGAATTGGAGAGTAAGCCCCCAGGTCGACATAATATAGGTGATAGAAATACTTACGTTTTTCTGAACTCTTTGGCGTTTTAGCTTTTGAAGGGCCGGCGTTAGGACTAGCTTTTCGCTTAGGACTTTTAGGACTGAATCTAGAGCGTGGTGACGTCACTGAATTTATATTTGGATTTACATTTTCAATATCTTGAACGTTTTTTGTAGTTTTTTGGGCCTGTAAGAGAAAAATACATTATTATTGTGTTTGTTATGAGAGTTTAATGTTGTATCACTACATAGTATAAAACAAAGTCGCTACCCGCCGTCTGTCTGTGCCTATGTATGCTTAGATCTTTAAAACTACGCAACGGATTTTGGTGGGGTTTTTTAATAGATAGAGTGAATCCTAAGGAAGGTTTATACGTATAATACATGCATATTGCACCCGTGCGAAGCCGGGGCAGGTCGCTAGTATATATAAATAAAAATGAATTTTCGTTCGTTAGTCTCGCTAAATCTTGAAAACGGCTGAACCGATTTGGCTAATTTTGTTCTTGAAAATATGTTCGTGGAAGTCCAGGGTAGGTTTAAAGAGTGAGAAAAAATCTTTAGATATGGGTCAGCTAGTAAATTTTTAATAACGTAAATTTACGCGTTTAGTCCTTTCTGACTCAGGAACCGACGCCGAGATACCTTGCGCGACAGTGTCACTTGTAAACACTCAACAAAAAAACCAATCAAGTCAATTTAAAGATTATAAATTATGCAATCTATAATAAAAAAAGGTGTTTATCTCTTTGAACTCGATAATCTAGTGAACTACTTTCTTTCATTTAATAATTTGAATCGAAGAAGACTATAGGCTATTTATGACTATAGGCCGAGCAGCGAACAAAATAGTTATATTAATTTTTTTATAAGATAACATAACTTTTTTATATTTATAAATATTTGATGGGCCGACGTCCACTATCTCGCCTGGTGGTGCACGATGATGCGGTCTACGATGGAGCACGTCGTCCCATAAGCAACCTACTCACTCGGGCCTTGAAGACACCCAGGTTATAACTTTCTAAAGAAAATATGCTATGAAAGAAAGAAAGGTTTAACTCACAAGTCCTGACGAACTAGGTCCACACGATGCCTCTTCATCAGACTCCAAAATACTGACACCCATCTCTTGCAAAACCTATGAAGAAGAATAAATAATTAGGCCTCCTCCGTTACACACAACACGCCTTTTATCCCCGAAGTGATAGGCAGAGGTGCACAATACGACACTTAATGCCACACAGTGGTCGCAAGTGCGACTGCCGGGCAAGGGGTCTCGGGGTCGATTCCCAAGTCGGGCAAAATATTACTGGGATTTTTAAAAATCTCAGTAGTAGCACAGAGTTTGGAATTGTGCCCGGTATATGGCAATAGGCTCACCCCCTATTACATGGGACTCGTAACATAAATAGTCAAAAGTGGGTGTTACATTATACAGTGGCATTAAGTGCCGTAATGTGCCTCTGCCTATCCCTATAGATAGTGATTCAAGAGGAATATAATAGAGAAAGAGTAATCACAGTGGGAAGTCAGGACGGGTTGCTAGTACTTTCCTTCACCCATACATCCCCAAGCGGTCACCAGTGACCGCTCTCCACTAACTACATTATAGACTTTATTTCCAATGTTTAGAGCCTACTTTTGTATGAACAAATTTACGGGATGAATTTCAACGGGTTAAAACACTGTAACACCCACTTTTTGTGCCATGTCCTTGTTATGAATCTTTATACTAATATTATAAAGAGGAAAGATTTGTACCTATTTTTGTATGTTTGTAATGAATAAGCTCAAAAAGTACTGGGCCGATTTAAAAAATTCTTTCACCAATAGAATGCTACATTCTTCCAATTTGACATAGGCTACATTTCATTTTGATAAAAATTGGGGATCCTTGGTAAAATTTGAACAATGTAACCGAAGGTGTAGAAAAATGAGTCTTAAAATGTCTTTCGTCGAATGCGCTGCCGAAACTATTAGCGATAGTACAAAATAATGTACAACAATATTGAGAAACATCACAATGCCTACAAAAAACTCCGCGGTAGCATACTATTGTAGTTATGTCACTACAACAATCCAAATTTCCAAATATAAATAATTGTCTACCCCGTGCGAAGACGGTATGGGCTGCTAGTATCAAATAAAATACTAAAATGGGCAGGTAACTTTGTCATAGTTAATCTTAAAACAAAGATGTTATTACCATTTTAAAATACTAAGCAATACATTTAAAATATCAGGTAAGGACTTAGAGATTTGTAAAAGCCTTTCTTTTATGTTTACAAAAGACAAAAGAGTTAATTAGTAACATAATGTTAGTCCAAATTCTATTCTTTTTAAACAATATAACTCACACCTTTTATCCCCGAATAGGCAGGCAAAGGTAAAGAGGCAAGCTATTCTTTTAATTTCTTAAAAGCCATAAAAATAAAATCCCACCATTTAAATCCCCAAAGAGATAACAGCTTAAAATAAGTACAATGAGACGGCCATCTTTGAATGATTCTGTTATAAAACTTTTGTATTGGAAAAAAAAGATATTGTTATTTAAAAATACCATAAGACTATAGTTAAATTACAAGGCTCTAGTAGGGCTTTTGTTAATTATGAAGTTCATGTAATTAAAAGTACCTGAATGATGATAAATCATGGTATGGTGGCTGCCTCATTGTACTTATTGTAAGCTGTTATTTATTCTGTTTAGGGATTTAAATGGTGGGATTTTATGGGTTTAAAGACTGCCTCGTTGGTCGCAAGTGCTGCTGGACAAGGGGTCTCGGGTTCGATTCCCGGGTCAGGCAAAGTAATACTGGGTTTTTAAAAATCTCAGTAGTAGCACGGAGACTGGAATTGTGCCCGGTATATGGCAATAGGCTCACCCCCTATTACATGGGACTCGTAACATAAATAGTGAAAAGTGGGTGTTACATTGTACAGTGGCATAATGTGCACCTCTGCCTACCCCTTTGGGGATAAAAGGTGTGATACCTCTATCTAGAAATTAAAAGGTCTGGCATTGTAACACAGTACACATAATTGCAGTTACACATCCTAATAAACATATTAATATTCTAGAATAGCGTCTTATTTTTGAATTAAATTTGTTTTCATTCATTTCACTTTTCATCAGTTAGGTTACGAGTCCCCTGTATTAAGGTGAAGATGGTATTTTTTTAATACCACAAGGCTGTATGCAGGTTCCTAAACATGGGCAACCACATGGTATTTTTTAAAACCCTATGAGATTTCACTACATAGTATAAAACAAAGTCACTATCTGCCGTCTGTCTGTCCCTATGTATGCTTAGATCTTTAAAACTATGCAACGGATTTCAATGCAGTTTTTTTAATAGATTGAGTGATTCTTAAGGAAGTTTATATATATAATACATGTATATTGCACCCGTGCGAAGCTGGGCTGGTTGCTAGTCATAATTAAGCTCTATGTTTTACTACATGATTTAAGACTGGAAAACTAGATAATTTTGCCAATGTATGATTATTAAAATACCAGAAGACTAGACCGGAGAAGATACCACAATTTTTTCGAACTCTTAGGGAGTTTGAAGAGATATTTGAAGTTACATTTTCTTGTATTTAGTCTCAGCTATTATGTTAAATGCAAAACTAAGTTAGTTTATGACCTCTTTAGGCTTTATCTATTCAACCAATCTTTATGAAATTTTGCATACATTTACCTAGTTGTGAGTACTGAGAATCTGAGTAGGTGAGAAGGACTTAGGCAAGTTTAGACGGGAAATTCACACGTGTAGGTAACAGTCTAACAGTCCTTAGAAATTTAGATGATCATGTTTCGTAATTAAAATGAGTTTTTGTAATTATAACTAGTCAGCTTCGTAACGAGGTCGGTATAAAGCACGAGTAAGCTATTCTAGAAACAGTGTCAAAACTGTACTCATTAAAAAATACGGGAGAATATGGCAAACGCATCAAAAAACGCAGGTCAACGAACTTACGGCTAAGACCGTAAAATTACGATTTTAACGCAGAATTTGGCTATATTTTAATAAAACACGAATAGAGACACGATAAATGTCTAAACTAAAGATAACTTCGCTAGTCATTGATTAGAAAAACCTAATTTTATCGTAGATAACCCAGCTCATAGAAAATATACGAAATAGGTTTTAATCTGAGTTTTTTGAGTAATATTCTACAATCACGGGTGTTTAGAGAGCATGAGAGGTATTTTGGAATGCTATTGTACAATCAGCATGTGGTATTTACAGCAAATCATAGAAAACCTAACCAAAAAAATACCACGAAAAAAAGCGGGAACCGGGCGATGCCTTACCTCTTGATCGGTTGAGCGCTCGAGTAAACTCCAGCTCCTACGATTTGTGTTCTCTGAGCAAAAGCGTTTCCTGTAAAATAATAACTATTTATAGCAGAAATAAAAGGAAAAACATGAAAATACAGGGAATCACAAGCCCAGCATTTGGCGCCTTTTGACTTTCCCGCGGCTCAAATCAGCTGTCATCTACAACATTGAAATTACAAAGATTTAAGGTAATAATAAAGCACTTACTTAGGATTTTCCATTACATCCAAATCGTGATTTAGCGACGCTTCACTTTTCTTATCACTCATTATAAAATATCACTTAACTGCACAGTACACGAAAATATTAGCGGTTCTTGAACTTATGTCATCACACAAATTCGGTATAACAAGACGTTTCGATGCGAAGTCGCACAGATGACACCTGCAACGTGAATGTCAATGCATTTTGGCATTGCCTGACGAAGTAAATGACTGAATGAACGAAAACAATGACTGAATGAATGAAGTTAACGGTAAATAATGTTGCCAAGTTAAGCTATTATTGCCCTACTAAAATCTAAGAAATTATTCACATTTTTAATAAAAAATACTAATTTAAGTAATGTAAATAATTTTATTAACATTACATTTTTGATTTTACAGTTTTACTCAAAATCTCATTTTTTATACAACAATTTTTAATTGTTATGCAATTATTGAAGTTTGAGATCGTAGTTTAGAATATTTTGATGCAGTGTAAATAGTTAATTTTAGTTCAATATTAATTTCATTTTACACATAAATCAATTTGTTTAACTTTTTATAATGTATTTAAATGAAATTCGTAAATAAAATTAATAAAATCAAAATGTTTGATTATAGGCATTGGGTACTGTTGCGTATTGGTGAAGAAAAATAGTTTCAGAAAGAATCAACAACATAATTTTAAAAGATTAATTTTTATCTCAAAAATACAATAAACTATTTCCAATTAGTACTATTAATATTCGCATCAAGCTTCCTTGTGTGTACCGCAAAGGAGTTATTTTTTTGCCTAGGTGTCTTTAAGGCCCGTGTAAATAGATTGCTTATGAGACGGCCTGCTCCCTCGTAGACCGCATCATCGCTTATCACCAGGCGAGATAGTGATCAAATGTCGACCTATCAAATATAAAAAAAAAGCTTTTAAATAAAATTACGGTACAAAAAATTCAGTGAAAGTGGGTGTCCTTGAAAGTTTTCTCTATATTTCTTAACTGGCAACATTATTTTTTGTTTACAAATGGTAACCAATCAAAAATCGTATAGTTGACGTTCTTGCTTACAATTGGCTAAATTAAATGGATAAATAACCAATCAGAACAAAGTGCGATTAGCACGCCTTCTGTCACAGCGGAACAAAATCAAAACAGTCAACACAAAAAGAAAACAAAGGCTGTCGTGAGAGGTTGTTCTCTTTGTGAAAATTGAAAACTCGATAAAATTCCTTCGAAAGTGCATTATTTCGTCCTAGTTACAGTTTAATCGTGTTGTGAATTTGTTTAACGTGAAAATGACGACTCGAAAAATGAACACCATCGAAGATCTGAGCGGTGAGTACATTTTGCAGACATAAATAAATAAAGAACTTGTGTCAACAAAACTTGTTTGGTGCGTGACGAAACACTATTTACGTGTTTCTAATCGCTTTATTAACTATAAATGGTTGCAAAACAATAAGAATTGCTTAAAAACTCAATAAAACGAGATTTTAAAAAAGTAAGACGCAGAATTCAAAGATTCCTTGTTCAATGTTTACGTTTTAGACGTTTCAAAATAACCAATATGGCGGTCTCGAGTTCAACTCTCGAGGTCAATAATTTAATTTGCGTCATAAAATAATAATGCGTATGTACATATTATGTACTGTGATTAACCAGTATTATAAATAGCCACGTCATTTACATCGTAAGCTGTATATAAAAACAACTTCTTTATTTAGTTGGATAATATTTTCATCCGTAAATACAGCAACCTGCTTATATTTTCTGTTTGCTTGGTACATCTACCTAATGACTGCACATCGATTTATTTATTTTTATTGACTATTTGTTTACATTTATGCTTATCTTTTTGTGTCGTAGGCAGAGATAATGCGTCTCAATCTAATAGATATATGGAATTAATTTTGTTTTCTATTTAGATAGAAATGAACTGGAAAAAACTAAATCCATATTGTTTTCCAATAAGTTTAGTATATTTAAGGACAATGTACGTAGAAACGATAAGCGCAGCGTAGGATGACCACCCACACGGTGGACGGACGACCTGGGGGCTTACTCTTGAATCCAATTCCGATCGATCGACATTGGTATTGTGAAATTTCGTACTCTTGAGTTGTAACACTAGCGCCCATTGCATCCGTATTACGTGGATATTGAATGAACTAAATGGTATTGCGTTTGGCTTTATATTCCGCACCCTGAATGCTATTTCAACAGCTACAATAAGGGTTGTATAGTGTTGACATTGAATAATTATTGAGTTAGAATTATTTCATTGGATTGCAATTGCATTGACATTGAGATTGGTTTCAAGAGTAAGCACCCTGATGCAGGTGTCAGACAGATGCTGTATGCTGGTCGCTTAACCTCGCGATGTGTACCTAGTCATTGGGGGGCATAATATTATTACCATAACATGCAAATAAAGACTTTGAGTTTGAGGACTATGGAAGTGGACGTGGCTGATATGTGCATGATAATGATCTAATAGGAATTTATTTTGTACTAGCTTTTACCCGCGGCTTCGCTCGCGTCACAAAAGGATAAAAAGTAGCCTATGTAACTATACCAATACACACAGCGCCATCTATACCAATACTTTTGTTTTCCCTCGGGAATATCAATTTTTTCCATGATAAAAAATACCCTATTATTTAATCCGGACTTATAACTTTACGTCTGCAAAACTTCAATGCAATCGGCTTAGTAGTTACGGCGTGAAGTCGGATCAAACAAACAAACAAACTCACTTTCCCATTTATAATATTATTAAGGATGTCTCACGAAAGTTTGAATATAAAAACACTAGATAATGTAAATGAGAAAAAAAACCACCACGTGGTATTTAAGAACTGGTTATAAAACATCGTATGATGCGAAATGATTAAGAATTCGCTCTGATAAATGCGTAGTTCGCAAGCTGTGTGAGTCATTTTATTTTGTTTTCGTTCTGTCACGAAATTGTTTGTTTGGACAACGATAAGTTGATCATTCTGCGTATTATCTAATGTAATGTTTTCTTTGTATTTACTTCATTCGCGTTTTTAGATTTAAAATCGTAATCAACATCAACAGACTGCCACTGGCCGAGTGGTCGTAAGTGCGGCAAGGGGTCTCGGGTTCGATTCCCGGGCGGGCAAAGTATTACTAGGTTTTTAAATATTCTCAGTAGTAGCACGGAGTCTGGAATTGTGCCCGGTATATGGCTATAGGCTCACCCTCTATTACGTGGGGCTCATAACATAAATAGTGAAAAGTGGGTGTTACATTGTACAGTGGTATTATGTGCACCTCTGCCTACCCCTTCGGGGATAAAAGGCTTGATGTTATGTTATGTTTTTATCAACATCAATAGCAACAGCCTGTAAGTGTCCACTGCTGAGCAAATGCCTCTGCTCACACGGAGAAGGTATGAGCATTAATCACCACGCTTGCTCATTGCGGGTTGGCGATATCAAACTTATAATTAGAAATTATAAGCTTAGGTTTCTTCATGATGTTTGTCAGTGGTGTCTAAATAATCTTAGAAAGTACATATAACTCGGAAAAAGTCACATTGGTACTTGCCGTTGGTAGGTTTTGAAACCGTACCCTCATGCATGAGAAGCGGGCGTCTTAAACCTCCGGGCCACTACGACCCTAAAATAAAATAAATTGGTAGTAATTGTGTCTATTAATGGTAGAGTAGTAAAATATATTTTTTACCATACCTATTTGACTGACGCGACGACCGAAATTAATACCCTATTTACCTTTATCAATCCAAAATTTGTAAATATGAATCAATTTTTGACATTCGTAGTGTTATTAATGGCATAGGCCGGGCATTTGGCATAATAATCCCCAAAGGGCGGCAACGCACTTGTAACGTCTCTGGTGTTCCACGTGTCTATGGGCGACGCCGATTGCTTGCCATCGGGTGATCCGTCTCCTCGTTTGCCGACTAAGCCCATAATAAGTGCTAATTTTGAGCAACATTTCGACATTCACGCATTTGAAGTGATAAGTGCTCAATTATCATACCTATTATTGTAAGCAAGTATAAGAACAGCTCACACAAAGGACCCACATAGTTTTAGTCCAATTTCCGTGGTGCTTGGCGACTGGGCTTCACCCAGTTGTACAGTCTCTTCTTTGTGCCTTTAGGCTTAATTCATTCTGTCTCCTGCAGTAATTTACCGAGAAAAGTGGAAACTATAGTTTTATCTTCTTCTTCTCTTACAATTTCTTCTGATTCAATTCGTTGCGGGAACCAAGACAGTTATTCATGTCCCTGGGACGCGCCGGACTTCAGTGGTCCGGTTTTTTCATGGTTGTATCTACTGTAGATCCTGGCTTACAGGAGTTGCAGCGGTTTTAGGAGGTGGAGGCGGGCTTGTCCCTTTATAAAAAAGTGCTCAATTGAAGCATTCATTCGTACTTGAAGTTTGCGCGTGTACCTTTAGTGATATTACGGTTCTGCCACACCGTCTACTTTTAAATGATATACGTGACCCAAATCAGATTCCCAATTAAGTTCGATGCGTAATTATAATCTAATCTTATCAAGAAGGACCTATTTGAGGCCGTTACAAGTATCATTGTGCATTCAATAAGTGTACAACGATAATAATTTGATTTCCTTATTTATTTTTCATATCTTCGTTGTTTTTGGCGATAATCCCTTTATGCGTTATTGATTCATCGATTGCGTTTTAAAGATGCAATGAGGTTTTGTGCTATTATTCCCAGTAGAGGAGTTTTATTGGGTTTTTGAAATAATCATTGTTGAGCAATAGAATTGTTCTCTCATCGTCAACGAAATAAGGTATGAAAATTAAAAATCTAATTAGTCCGTCCGTTAGGTAATGAAAAAATATTAGACACGTATTTTTTATTTGTCGTATAATAAAACAATTCTTAGATAAAACGAATCAAGGTTTAGGAGTGGGGGCAAAAACGTCATTTCTACGTATAAAATGTACATAGAAGTGATGTCACATGACATTTCAAATTAATATAATTTCGAAAGTATTCGTTTCTGTAAGAAAATAAAAAATACGTGCCTAATGATATAAAATAATC